AGCTCGTAGGAGTACCTCAGCTGTAGTGGCATGACCATACTGAGCTGCCAGATGAAGTGGACTCGTTCCCAGCAGTCAGCAAAAACCGTTACTTACTTCCTCAGAAGGTTTTAATCTACGTTACTTAATCCTGAATCTACGCTGCTCTCAAAATGGTCCTCATTTGTCTTTGTTGCTGTCATTCTCCATTTCACTTTCCTCTTGGGGACCACATATTTGAAATTTAAATTGACAGAATAAATTTAACATGTAGATAGACAGGGAGATTAAATATTCAATGAAGGCAGACTTAGAATACTAAGACTCAGAAATTTTCCATAGAAAAATCATTACTAAATACTTCCAAATTTAAAACTAATACTAGCTGAATATAAACACAAAAATTCTAAACAAATCAAGTATTTTTTGCATGTAAGTGATATCCTTCAAAAGACATATTTTTATTATCCACACCTAACTCAGATTCCATAATCCACAGAAATTCCCTTCCTATTATGGAGCCTCCATGTTCACTAGATCCAACCAATAAAAATGTAACTGAACCTCATCAGGTAACATCAACTGATGATTCTACTGTATTACATATACAAACTCAACCTACAATTTCTGAAAGTAGGCCACAAATTTGTAAGATAAGTGGAGAGTTCAAACTTGTCCACTATGTGGTTATGATGTAGACTTTGAGAGGAAAAGCAAAAACTGTGTCACTCAAGAATTTGTTCCAACTGCATTACACGTTACTTAAAAGGTGCCATGCATCAGGAGAACTCTTGAATAATGTCTCTCTATTAAATTTGACTTCAAGCCACTCAGTTTTGAATAACAACAAACTGCGGACTTGCCCAGTCCGTAGTAAATGGTGCTCCTTTGCTCATGCGAAATCGTACTTGCTCTGTGTCACCTTCCTTGGCACTCAGAAGCAGCTTGTTGAACAGTTCAACCAATGACAATGCAGGAGCACATGGGCGCACTGTTGTGATACTGCCATACCCTTGCTGCTGTAAGTCTGCATAAGCAACGTGACCAATCACAACTGCTTAAGGTTCATAAAACAGCTATGCCCATTGGCGAGTTGAAAAATGTGTAAACAATTTTGGCTGGAAAGCCTGAAAAGATGAAACAGATGGAGGACAACTTCAACAAAAAATACCATTAGAGGTAGCATTGGCAACATATAAACAAACTGTTACTCATATATTTATATTTAAAATATAATTCAAAAAAATTCCCTACCTCAGGTGAGTTTAAATGACAACATTCAACTGTCAGTGATTGATATGGATACTTCTTGATTAAGAGCTACATACACTTCTTGTCATTAGCTATTAATTTACAATGCTAAAATGTGGTGCATTTTAAATTAAAAATCTATTACACTTATAAGCATTTTATGATGAGAACACAATGGAACATACTCGCGAGTGCTCAACATTAGAGTAGTTACAGCATGTTTTGCCATCACATAATACTTACAGGGATACGCATAATAGGCTCCAAGGATTCACCTTCTTCAGTAGCCATAATTGCTTGCATTCTGTAGCCAAATTATATCTGAAGGAAGTAAGTACCTAGAAATAGCAGACAGACATACCATTAACAAAATTATGTATAACTGCTTTCTTCAATACATAAATATATATAAACAAATTCTGACTTACACAGTATAAACACAAGGCACAAACATGACCTCCATATGGCAAATGCTAACCTCACCAGTTATAAGAAATGTATTATGCAGAAATCAAATTATTCAATACTCCTCCTTCAAAAATATTTAAGCAGGTACTATTATCTCTTATCTCACACTGTCTAGCCTGCAGAAGAATTTACTTCAACAGAAAATCCATGCGTTAAAATTTCTGTAGATACTGACATAATTTATTTGCTCTGTATAATATAATTTCAAACTCTGCGTTTGAACTTGAACTTATGATGAGTGCATGCAACATGCCCTACATCATTGGCTTAGTCCTATAAAAAGTGTGTAGAAAATAAATTATAATTATGGTTCTTTCTTTGCAGAACAATTTACTTCAGTTGTGAGTTCGTAACTGTTGCAAATACTTCCTTGGTATTATTAATGTGAATATTCTTACAAAATGTCTGCAGGTAGCTCTTACAAATGTTTATATTTATGTTGGTATAAATTACTGGATTTGCATTATGATGTGTTCAACATACTTTGCAAGGTGCAATGCAGGAACTACGAACGATAAATAAATTGCACCCTACTCTAATGCAGCAGTTTATATCACATAACCTATCATTTTCACGTCATACTGCGTGACCTACACTCTCAGTGAACATACTAGTTGTTGGCTTCTGATTCGACACATTTCGTAATATATTTGGGAAGTGTAGATTTAATTTTACAAACATGTAACAAGGAGCTATACATATATAAACATTGTACCACATGTCAATGCATTGAGTCGCATGTGAAAATATACGTCTATTAAACATCATTTCCTGTGGACAGGACGTTTTCATTTTCGCCATTTTAGAACCACACTTCTTCTTCCTGTTCCAAAACGGTAGTCATTTGCTATAAGCTCTGATAATTTTTCAAATTTAAAAGTAGCTGGTATATTATTGATTAATATACCAATACTCACCAGAGTTCTTGATGCTTTCAAATCATCTTTCACATAAATTCGAAGTTGATGCAACGTGCCAACACATCACAATGAATGCTACCCAAGCCACCGCCTTCTAAGTGGTGGAACGTCATTTCACTTTTCACCTGCTGCCTGCTTAAGAATACCAATATTTTAAGTTTGGGATTAATGCACACATAGATGGCAGCAGTATGAATTGAGCAGCCACTGCTAAAATAGATGGCAGTACCAACATTTATTACTGTCTACGTAAATCCGTAAAATATGCGCACTACATTCATGCACTCTAATCCCAGTAACTGTTAGTGTTACTTCCTCCGTAGCTTCATGTTGTTTGTTTTTCTTTCGACTGCTTAGATGTGGTCCTCCATTTTCGCCTATCTTGCGCCAATCTCGTCATTTCCATATATTTTTTTTGCGGCCCACATCCTCAAAAATCTGCGTCACATATTAAAATCTTTGTCTCTCCTTACAATTCTTCCCTTCAACAGTTCCTTCCATTACCAAATTAACCAATCCTGGGTGCCTCAGAATGTGACCCACCATCCTATCTCTTCTTCTCGTAAGATTTTTCCTTTGTCTATCCTGTCTAAGACCAGCTCATTTCGTACTTCATCAGAATTATCAACATCCTTCTATAGCACCACATTTCAAATGCTTCTATCCTCCTTCTTTCTGGCTTTCCCACTGATCACGTTTCGCTTCCGTATAACGCTGTGCTCCAAACATTTAACTTCAGAAAAATCTTTCTTAATTCAAGGTCAATGTTTGACTTCTCTGCTAATCTGCTTTTAATGTCTTTTTCACTTCGTCGATCTTTTGTGATTTTGCTTCTTAAATAACAGAATTCCTTCACTTATTCTACTTTGTCTTTCCCAATTTTGATATTTAATGGGTCATTATTCTGCGGTTCCATGACAAAACCGTACACGAAAATTGCGCACAGAAAGAAGCTCACTGTCATGAATGCTCACACGAAAATTACTCACACGGACAAATGCACACACTGATAAATGCTCACACTGACAAATGCACAGTATCACACTCCAAACAGTACAAGAAGTTAAAATTTTGAAACGAAACCTTAAAAGACGTTCAGCTTAATAAAATAATAAGAAAACGAAATAGTATGATGAAATTACCTCAGCAGAAGATGTAATTTGGACCGTTACAAACTGATTCAGCTGACGTAAGCCACCGCGTCAAACGCTGACTTTACAGAACTTTCCATTTATTATAATTTCGTTCATAAACATATTCTTTGGTCATGTCAATAATAATACTGCATCAATAACATATTTTGGGGCAATCAGCCACGTTAACGCGGCTGATTGCCCGAGAAGATTTTATTGAATTTG